CCCCAAAACCCCAAAACCCCAAAACCCCGAGATGGGTTGATAAAAGATAATTATGAAATCAAAATAACTTAATTAATTTCCATATCAACTCAAATTTAATCTTTTTTATCTGCTTTTTCTGCTTTCAGTTTCATAAAGAGTATCAGGTTCATGCATGCCTTTATAACTTTTTCGTATTTTGCTGCTAGCTGTGCTCTTTTTGCTGATTATACTTTCAACACTTGATTTAAGATCAGATAAAAAGGAAGCCCCTAGATCATCTAAGAAATTTTCAAGGTCCTTAGACTCTTCTGAAAGCTCGAATTATTTTAAACCTTCTTCAAATTTTTCATCTTCAAAGTTTTACTCTGCATTTTGATTCATAATTATCTCTTCGAGTTATCCTGATTATTTATCTTCCTTTATGATTTTTTATTCTTCTTATTATAGGAATTTAACCTACCCACTACTTCTACTCAGGAATGATGCTGAGATAGTTATATTCTAATTAGATTCATTTCGATTATAATAATTTTCAAGCTACTATAAAGTCTTATTAATGTTAGCTTCTTCTGGACCCTCTGATTGCTAAACTATATTGTTAAGTTCAGTTAGCTCTTAATCTGGAAAATCATAATCATCTAATCCATCGTTTTCATAATCTTACTACTTATCTTCTTCACTTCTAATATTATTATAATCTCTTAATGATGTAGACATTACTGGCTCATTCATTTGATCATTTGATTATTAAGACTATTTATCTCTAGATTTAGACTCATATATGCTGTTACTAAGATATTGTTTAATGTCAGCATTATACTCTGCTGTGACAGTCTTAGACCTTTTCTTTCTGGGTTATTTATTCTCACCTTCTTTTGATTCTTTAATTTTTTTCTCTTTCTTAGGCTTTTCAATTTTTTCCTTTTTTAATGGAGACTTTCTTTTTTTAGTATTTAGCTATTCAAATTATTCAATTTCTTCTATTGATCTTGGAATCAATTTCCTTAAAACAGGCTTAGGATCTATATCTTCTGGTATCATTCTTGGATTAAAGGAGTAAAGCTAAAGTCCACATTCCTTTGGTTTTTCTAATTCTTATAAAGCAGGCATAATAAGCTCAGCTTATCCAAAGCTAAGTTTGGTTTATTTAGAGCCACTTCCTTATTTATTATTTTATTGTCCCTAATTCAAATTAGATATAATTAATGATTGTTCTTTAATAGCATTCATAATCATTTTACTTTGCTTCTTAGACATTTTAAATTTATTTTCCTCTTCACCTTTAGCTATCAGTACAATAACTTATCCGTTTCCAGCTCTACCAGTTCTTCCAAATCTTTATATCATTCTTATTGGCGAAGCAAGACAGTCATAACTTATAATAAGATCTACATTCCCGATATCTAAGCCTTCTTCTGCTACACATGTTGCTACCAATGTATTAGTCTTTCCAGATTTAAATCTATTTATCATTGCAGCTTGTACTTTTTAGCTTAATCCATGATTATTTTATCCAACAAATACTTCAGCTTTTACCGTATCAGGGTTCTTTTTCTCCAAATATCTTTTTATTTCATTAGCTGACTCTCTGAATTAAGAAAAAATGATAACTTTTGAGTTTACATGGCTTTCGTCTAAAAAGAAAGTTTCAAGAATTTCTGAAAGTTTTCTTAGTTTTGGATGATTTGCATTCATTTTGGTTTCTTCCATATAATTTACTACCTCTTGATACTCATCAGTTTCCTTGACATTCTTAACGAATGTTCCAAGAGGCTTATCTTTACCTTTCTGAATAAAGCAGTTATTAAAATACTCGCTAAACGATTATGGACCATGAATTAATAGAAGTTACTTAGCATGAGCCATATTTTATAAAAAACCAAATCTTTCGTATACACAAGAGCACATGCTTGGAGCAAAGTTTTGAATTTTGGATTTAAAATCCTCTCTCATATTTATTACACTCATTTTGTGAATATATTTTGGCTGCATACTTTGACTAACAATGTTGTATTGTTTTAGAAATGTGAGGGCTCAACCCATTAATTTCATTATTTTTAGTTCCAACTCTTGAATTTAATTCTCCTTTTCTACTATGATTTCCACAATATCTTTATCATGAGTATATTACTTGATTTCATCATCTTCTTCATCTCTTACTTCAAGCATTGCGCATCTTAAGCTATTTACCACAGTTTATAAATTCTCAATCTTTGAGACAGGGGTTGCTGATAAAGACACAATTCTAAATCCAACATTCAGTGCTTCTAAATACTCAATAATCTTACAATAAGAATAATTTCCACTTGCTCTATGAGCTTCATCAATGACAAGCAATACAATCTTAGATGAATCTAGAATATTATCCTCAATGTCCTTTTGTAGAGTTTAAGGTGTCATAAAGAAAACTCAATTAATCATATAAGCTTTCTTTCTCTTATCCTTATTTGCTTGTCCAGTTAGTTCTATTACTGATTAAAGAGGGACCTCTGTTATAACTGAGGTAAATGCTTCAACTTATTGAGTGACTAAAGGTCTTGTAGGTGCAAGAAAAAAGATTAAGCCATCTTAGAACCATCTATAATAATTGTACATTACAGTAGAAGCAATAAAAGTTTTCCCGAGACCTGTTGGCAGAGTAACTATAGTATTTGCAAATAAAGATGATCTCACAATTCTAAACTAATATGTTCTAAAAGTCTTTGAGACTGGATAAACCCATGTAGATAAATTTTCAGAGTTATAATTGGCTTAGGGTAGAGTACCGGAATTTTAAGGGATATTGTATCGTTCTTTTAGTAGATTCTTTAATTCTGTTTTTTCTTGCTAAATTTCTATTGCAGACATACGCTTTTACCTTCTTTCAGGGGACTTCAATTCATTTTAATCAGTCGATAGGCGATTTTAAGTGGATGAGCGTCTTTTGTTGGCGGTGATCAAATACTTTTCCATTAATGCGAATTTGATTCTTCTCAATTAAATTTAATTTTTGAATTCAAACAATTACATCCAGTTACTCTAAGCGGGGTTTTGGGGTTTTGGGGTTTTGGGG